GGAAGCAAGCGCACTGGCCCCTCCTCCCATCCCTAATTTAATCTCCGAAATCCTAACCCTGTTCAGAGAAACTCCGATAACGCACTTGTAACTCCTTTGGTGTTGCAGATGTCCATGGGCGACGCTTACTATCAGGTGAACCACTACAAGGTGGTTTACCGATTTAAGATATAAAATAAAAATAACGTCAAAAAGAAGGCGCTTCACAAATTCTAGAACTAAATCACTCGGTGTTTCTCTACATAGAAATTGTATAACCAAACAAATTAAATTAAAATAGACCTAAACTTGATCAAGTAATTTTAGCTCGAATAGTATTCTAACTTCTAAGGAATCCAAGGCTTTGAGGTCAAGCCAGATCTTCAGAGCTCAAGTTAATAGTTCTCGAGGGAGCCAACAGGACAACTTGTATTAAATTCAAGCTAGTTTCATTAAGATGGTGAACAGGGAAGTTAGAAGTGTTATCGAGAAACTGTGATGTTGATACAGTCTCCGTGAAGTTTGGGGTTTGTGGATGATTGTTCTTCTTGGGCTGGTAAAAGTTTTGTTTACCATTTTTTTAGCTGTTAAAAGTTGTACCAATAAGTTTGCCTCATTGGTCGAGTCGAGTAAGGTTGTTGCAGTTTTCCTGGTGAACCAAATGTCTTGGCGGTTTTTAAGTACTTATATGGTGTTCAATAATTATGAAGGTAATCGGTTAGATAGTTGCAGACTTTTTTTTTAATTGATTTGAGTGCCTACCTTATTTAACAAAATGATGTAGTCGTACAATTCTGGTAGTTTTTTTTGCGACTTATGTCGATTCGATTTTTGTATTGGAATTCGTGCAATAATTGGGTTTATTGACTATCCCTTCACACTCTACAACTTACCGCCTGAATGAGAAATTCTCTTATTCAATCAAAGAGCAAATCATTCAGGCTATTGGTTGAACAGCTAATTAAACTAATTGCCTGAGCCAGATATGCAGTGTTCATTGTGAAAAAAAATTAAAAATACCTTGGTTTGTAATCCATATTGTTAGCATAGGTATAGTATCGACTCTAACACCCCTTGTTAAGACAGACCTTTCAGAAATCCTTTCAGGTGATACGAATATTGTTGTTAAATAAAAATAACACACACACACACAGCTGAACCGTAGTTTTATATATGTACATGAGAGCGTTTATTTCCTTGAAAGTGCAGCGAACGGGTTAATCCGGGAACACATAAACAGCGCTTACTAAAACAGAAACCACTTTGAGGGGATTTGGTGCATGTAAGGAGAGGTTTACATTGAATCACCTATATTTATTTATTTTATTTAACGTAGATGAACGTTTTATCTTTTCCGAGTTATATGTATAATAATTGCGGATTTATATTTTTATTGATATTTCTTTGAATTTCACATCACATCACATCATTAGTCCATAAGTGCCCGCTGCTGAGCAAAGGCCTCTTCTTACACAGAGAAGGTTTGAGCATTAATCACCACGCTTGCTCAAGGCGGGTTGGCGATTTCAAACTTATAATTGGAAATTATAAGTCCAGGTTTCCTCACAGGTCCAGGTTGTTTCACGCCGGTATTCTGTGAGGCCGTGGTATCACTCCGCTCGAGCCGACCCATTCGTGCCGAAGCCTGGCTCTCCCACACTTAAAGTGCCTAAATAATCATAGAAAGTACACATAACTATTCATACAAAGTCACATTGGTACTTTAGGTTTTGAACCCACGCCCTCATACATGAGAAGCGGGCTCTTTAACCTCCGGGCCACCACGACAATTTGTATTTACAGAGAAACAAATTGTGTTTTATTTCGAAAATCCACAGTAAAATATCCTTATAACACAACATCAAAGTTCACTAACTAATCTCGCTTCTTCAATTATATCCCTTTGTTTAATTACTCTCAACAATATTTAAAAAAAAAAACAATAAAATCGTTTATTTTATTGTTTAACAAACTAAAACATAATCCGCCATTTTCTAACGTGTCTCTAGCCACTGTCTTCTATTTTTATTAGACAAGACAATGAAATGTCATTTCATTAGTACTTTCTATGACACCACTGACATATGGTGGAGGAAAACATCGTGAGGAAACCTTTTTTTTTGTTGTCAGGGGAAAATCATCAAATGACTTCTCCCGCCTAAGGTTAGGCGAGAGAGAGTGTCAGACTCTTACTGACTAAAAACCCCCCTCTTCCTTCTCCTGCTTTGGGCCGAGGCCGCGGTGACTAATTGCGCTTAACCCGCAACCCCGGCTGAACATCAGCCCTATCGGGCCCCGTCTGTGGTGTGAGGCGCGGAAGGCTACGCGCCGTACGCTCGGGTTTAGTCACGAGTTTAGTTCTGGTCGGGCGGCGAGCTATCGTGAGGAAACCTGCACTTACAATTACTAAATAAGTTGGAAATCGCCAGTCCGCCTTGAGCTTGCGTGGTGATGAATGCTCAAACCTTTTCCGTGTGAGAAGAGGCCTTTGCTCAGCAGTGGCCACTTGATGATGTGTGTGATAAGTATGTGAGGTTTTGGAAGGTAAGCAAGCTGTCTGATTTGCGGATGGTAAGAAATCTTTTTCCTATTGGAAAATTAAACTCGAAACATCTTGCTTAGTAGCCTTGATAACCAGTAAATCGGTTTACGAGGCAGGTGGTTTTTTTATGCAATAGGTCGGCAAACGAGCAGACGGATTACCTGTTGGTAAGCAATTAGCGCCGCCCATGGACACCCGCAACGGAGGAGTTACGAGTGCGTTGCCGACTTTTAAGGGATAAGGGATTTGGAGATTTAGGGATTGAGGAGGGATTGGGGGCAGGGAAGGATTGGGACCGACCCACACGTGCCGAAGCATGGCTCTCCCACACTTATCCAATCGAATCTACAATTTCGAACGACCACCTTCACTGATGAACAGACTGAAAGACTACTATTCTATTTTGAAACTACTTAGTTACTTTTGAAACGTCAAAACATTATTTTTGGTTTATTTGGAATATTTCACTCCCAAAAATTAAATTGAAAAGTGAAGATCTCCATTTCACTTGGGAAGAGTACAGTCATTTTTTTATGTTTAAAGTTACTAGAATTGTAGTGACTGTCGTGTTGTTTAAGACTGCACGGATGGCGCGGTGGCTGGGCAACTGGCTGCTGTGCAACGTGTCGCTGGTTCGATTTCCTCACAGACCAACTCTTAGTGTGATCCACAGATAGTCGTTCCGGGTCAGGGTGGGATATGTATGTTTGTAAACGCAACAGGACACAAGAAAAAAATTATAGAGAGAGGCAACAATTAAAAATAAAATACAATAAAATAAATTTGGTTTGAAATGGTTCACTATTATATTAAATATTTGTTAAGTATAGTAGTTTTTATTTTATTACTAAAATAACAGCGTACTTTCAAATTAGTCAAATTCAACACTTCTCTCGAAATGTCAAATACGAACATTTTTATAATAAGAATTTTGTATGAAATAGCATTTCATTTTTGTGAAATAAATTTTAAGTACGTCAAATTATTTGTAATGAATTATTTAAAAAATATACCATTATAAAATAAAACTTATAAGTAAAAGCGTTACTAGTGTTAAGATTTATTATAGTTTTTTAAGTTAAATTAACTTCTTTTTTAGGGAAAACTACGTACAACTTCATTCAATTGCAGTACCTATGTATAGTTCTAATATATATACAATTATATCACAACTCTATTATCTTTGAATACGCCAATACACTACAGACGTTGGCGGGGCCCTATAGAGCTGATGTTCAGCCGGGGTTGCGGGGCAAGCGCAATGAGGCACCGCGACCTCGGCCTAGAGCAGAACGAAGGGGTTTTTAGTCAGTAAGAATCTGACACTCCCTTTCGCCCCAAAAGTCATTTGATGATTTTCTCCTCTCAAAAAAAGGATCCTTGAATAAAAAAACAAAATAAAATGACGTTTAGAAGAAGGGCATAGCACTACTTAAAGGTTAATCAAATTAATGATCAGTGCCAATTGTACATAAAGCATATTTTTCTTTAAACTCAAGGTAAGCAAACAGTCTTTGGTCTTCATAAGTACCTAAATTATACATAAAGCACTCATCAACTATTGTGTTTATTTTTGACTAACTCACACAAACATACATATTCATAATGTTAGTGTGTATGTATACATATATGCCTTGGAACTTCGGATGTACAATGTCGTGTAATGAATATCAATTATAGTACCAACGCAAAGGGGCGACCACAGATTATTTAAAAAGACACGCACGACGAGCTACTTGGCGTTTTCTGCCTAACAATTGCTTGTATTATCGTGTAGTAAGGCGATGCCGGACAATAATCGTACATTGTTGTACCTACAGGGAATATTCTGTTGTTAATTTCAAACTTCGAATTTGTGCGATGTGTATATGTTGATATGACATTTAGTAACTAGACGTCAAAAAGAGATCCCATTTAAAAATATGCTTTTTGGTAATTTTGACCTATTTGTGTGGACCTATTCATGTAAATATTATACATATATAGGTTGTATTGACTTTTAATCATCATCTAAAGAATTTGAATTTGAATCATCATCAGCCAGAAGACGTCCTCTACTGGACAGATACCACCCCAATAAATATATTAATATAAATAAAATAGTATAGCGAATCTGAGTAGAAATATCCCCAAAATAGCATAGTCCAAAGATACACCGGAATTTCATACAAAATAATTTATTTAGTTTGTCTTTGATTCGTCAATACAAAACCAAAAAAACATTTACACGTTTGGCGTGGTCTATCTGTTAAGACATTTACTCTTTGAAACCATATGTCCCCGGGAGATCTCGGAAATTATAATTTTATCATCATTACACTCGACATTCGACAACATGGTCTAGCACATGTGTATCCCAGACAGTGTCTGTATTTACAATTCTTTTTTCTTAACAATTGAGCAGTATAAAACTAAATCCCTGGGTGATCCGATCTCTAGTCCGATTTCGTTCGCTTCTATATTAAGAACGCCTCCGCCTGGCCTCGCACGATGCGTGTGCGCACAGCAAACGTTCACACAATAAAAACCAAACGTAGTACATATTATATTTTTCCGACGAACCCGACTTAAATCGATATCACTAAAATATTCCTGTGAATTTTGTGATAATTTTATAATTAGGACGTTTTAAAATTAAAATGGTAAGTTTTAAAATGGTACTAAAATAGATGGTATTGAAATTCGGACATATTTAAGAGGTGGTTAATAAAAATGCTCGCGTAATACCTAACGTCGGCTGGATTGTGTTCTAATTGGCTTTCGTCTTAATGTTTCAGTCCATAAAGTGAATTAAAAAGTGAATTCAATATAATACTGTGGTTATCGCTGAAGAAGACAAAATGAAGTTCACAATTGACGTTTTGGGGATTTTTCTTAAAGTCGTCGTTAAGGTTAGTTGTTTTATTTATAGTATTAATTTGTTTTAACCATTTTAAAATTAATATCAGAAAAATCTAATTTTTGAAAAATGTAAATAATAGTTCAACTTTCGAGCTGTTAAAAATAAATTATAGTGCTTAAACGAATTTATTTTTGAATTTCCGCGTTTGAAAACTTCGAACAGAACGTGTGACGTCAACGTAAACATTTTTTTTCTGTATTCTAAATTCAAACGCATTCTTTAACGCAATTTTGTTCGTTCAAATTTAAAACTAGAAGCAGAGGTCATTGTAAATTACATCATGAGGTACAATTTGAACATTAAAAGGGCTTTAAGGTCAACAGTAAACAATGAAACAATAGGAATTATTTCACGGCGAGTTCATTATGTGACCTAGTTGTTGGTACAACCCGCGGGATGGTAAATCAGCTGTTTATTTAGCGCAACGCCAATTGATGAGTGAACTGAAATGCTACTGTAGGTTTAGTAGGTACCTAGGTAGGTAGACGTAAGTGGCTATTATTCTTGCAGACGCTGTGATTATTATATCATATAGAATTATTAATGCTAACTTCCTGCATCGTACTCACATTTTTTTTTAATTTAAGAATAGGTACTATAATATTTATAAGATGCTTTTTTATGAAATTCAAAAGAACTCTTTAAAAATAATAACTAATACGTACAATCCTCTCAGTTTCTTAATCCTCAAATCCCTACCATTCCACTAAAGGCCGGAAAACTCGTTATCTCGGCATCCTCGTCACGGCACTGAAAAAAAAACATTTAGTAGAAATCATAACATAACCGATTCAAAGAGGATGATAGCCTCCTATTAGCCTATCAGGTCTTACCCAGGTCATACTAGAGCGGCACCACAGTGGTTTCCCACACAGTTATTATGAAACAAAAATCAATCGAACATTTTTGATAAAACTTGGTGTAAAAATCGTCGTCGTGGTGGCCCGAAGGTTAAGGCGCCCGCTTCTCATGCATGAGAAGGGATTAAAACATGGCAAGTATAGTACGGCAGCAGTTATATGATTATGTACTTTCTATTATTATTTAGACAACAGTGACATTCGGTGAAGGAAAATGTTGTGAGCAAATCTGGACTTATAATTTCTGATTAAATGATAGAAATCGCCTTGAGCAAGTGCCTATTTATGCTCAAAGCTTCTCCGTGTGAATAAAACATTAAGAAAGTAATATATTTTATCTTTTTTATAATACTTAAGTGTGAGAGAGCCATGCTTTGGAACGAATGGGTCGAGTCGACCGGAGTGATACCACAGCCCCATAGAAAACTGACATGAAACAACCACAGCGTTGTGTTTCGCCGTGTGAGTGAGGTTACCGGAGCCCCAATCCTTCCCCTCCCCCCAAAATTTTCAGATTCTTCGTACTTCTTTAAGTGACAAATTCATCATAATAATCTATGTATTAGTTGTTTATGTTATATATTATAGGAAATAAGTCGTTGGAGTACCTTGGTAATAAAAATAAAAATAAATCTCCAAACCATAATCCCCAATCCCAAAGCTCGGCAACACACTCGTAACTTTTCCGTTGTTGCGGGTGTCCAAGGGCGGCGCCGAATCCCTGTCCTGTCACATAAAAAAAAAGATACTTAACAGCCCTAAAACTAAGTACATACTCACTTAATATACATGCGGTACACGAAGAACGCCAGAGATCAATGACCTAGCCCCTACAAGTGCATCTAGCTCCTTTATCCAGACCAAGTCGTAATATTTTACTGCTTCCAAAGGTTACTTATTGCATTTAAGTACTTGTACTAAAGAATCCTTGCTCTCAATATATTTTATCTTCATGAGTTATTGTATAGTACGATAACCTTTTTAGTATAATAATATGTATGTATGTTGTAAGTTTTATTCCTTGTGCTCAATGATATTATAAGTAAAATGGTGTAGATAGGTTAAAGTTAAAATTCGATTTTCAAAAACGACTCACTGATACACACATGAACAATTCGTATGTTTAGACGTCAAAGTGAGATGGCATGATTCAATAATCGCGAGTGAAAAAGAGACAAATATGAAAAAAGTGTGGTTAGTTAGACGGGCTCAATACTAGAGACATTATCACCAGCCAAGTTTTAAGTGATGTAAAATAAGTATGGACGTGAGAGTCCCTATAAAGAAAACAATTAAAAATATCACGAAATGCAAGTAAAATACGTTATATACATACATTTTTAAGTGTGGGAGAGCCATGCTTCGGTACGAATGGGTCGGCTCGACCGGAGTAATATCACGGCCTCACAGAAAGCCGGCGTGAAACAACCACAATGTTGTGTTTCGCCGTGTGAGTGAGGTTACCGGTGGCCCAATCCTTCCCCTCCCCCCAATCCCTGAATCTCCAATTCCTAATCCCAAAAGGTCGACAACGCACTTGTAACTCCTCTGTTGTTGCGGGTGTCCATGGGCGGAGCTGATTGCTTCCTATCAGGTAATCGGACTGCCAAACATAAGTTGCGCTTTTTATATACAATTTGACATTACGTTTATTATTATTTTTTAACAATGACATTATCACCTATTGTGACATTTTTATTTTTATTTGACATTTTTTATTTTTTATTTTAATTATATATTGACATTATTATTATTTTCTATTATTGTTAGTGTAAGGACCGTGTGAGACTTGCCGCGCTTTTCGACTACCAGTTATCTGCGTTCTGACAGTTCGAGTACCTACTTGCGCGACCCACCCAAATGTTCTTTAGATCGGTATGTTTCGTCGGACAACTCGGCAGCACTTGCTATACTGGTTGCAAACTGACACTTGCGTGCCTGTCTTCAGAACGGGTCCACTTAAACTGGTGTGGTTCTTTCATCAAAATACCACTACAGAATGAACTTGCACGGTTCTCTCGGTACTTGCTCAATATTGGAAATTTAAATATTAACTTGTTTTTTGTTATTTTTGGTAAATCCTTCCTCTCTCGCCATAACCCCCGTATCCCTAAATTTACTAAACCCTGATCCCCAAAAGCGCAATACACGCGTGTTGCGACGGCGACGCTAATTGACAAAAGGAGAATCGCCTGCTTTATCAATGACATAAAAAAACAAACAACCGCAATCAGTTTTATTTAAATTTTAATTTTAAAAATCCATTGTTTTGAATGTAAATACACGTGTATTGTTTGCATTGGGACCACAATCGTTTAACTATGGCTAGGGAACACAATGAGGAAATATTCAATTGATAGACACGATCCTCTGCATCTAAATGTTCATAGCCGTATTTTTTTTTTAAATAACAAGTCAGTCGTTGCCTGTGGTTTATCCTATAGAAAACAGTGGTTTTTAATAAACCATATTATTTGTTTAAACGTGCGGTTTAGCCTGTACACTAAACAAAACATAGATAAAAAATAGTTTTAAATGTTTTAAAAAGTAATTTGTTGGTAAAAATATATTGTTTTCGCGCGTAATTTTATGTGACATTTTGTAATTCTGTATTTTTTTTCTTGTCTGTGATTGGTGGTGTTCGAAAATTAAATGTGTGTTGGTGTTCCGAAATTTTAAATATCATTAAAAAATTAATATAACTAAAGAATTTTCTTACAATGGTAATGTATTTTTAATTTTAATAAATAATAGAATAACAAAATCGTCTTTGTGCATAATGTTATGTAGCGTTTTGTAAAACTTTATTTTTATTTTTAGTCTGTGAGTATTTTGGCGGTGTTCGAAAATTGAGCGTATTTGTGTTATGATATATTTTTTTAAGTAATCGAAGTTAAGGATTTTTTTACAATGGTAATGTATTTTCACTTTTTGTAAACATTTTAATATCATGTAAAACTTGTAAAACATAAGAGCATGCTACTTTAGATTTAAGAATAATTTCTTATTTATTGACACACAAAAAAAAAAAATTCAAATACCTTCGTAAGTAAGATTTCACAATAAAACATTCAAAGGGAAATCCAATATTACCAATGGGGGCTATCGTTTTTTAAATGACCTTCTAGCAAGAGACTTCCAGCCAATCGCCTTGTCTGACAAAAATTTTCCGTCCAATGGTTTGACAGTAGCTAGGTATTTCTCTATTGAACGAGAAGACGAGAGATCCACACTAGTGCCATCTAGTGAGCATAAAAAGGATTGCTCTTATTATTTTAAACTTTGAGTTTTTACTGAGGATTTTGTAACAAATTGGTAATTACTAAGTAATATTCGCTTTGTTATTTTGCTTTGAACAGTTAAACTAATAATTGAAGTGTTTCTACTATTATTTTGAATAGCTCTCAGAGAGGGGAATAGTTAATCCGATTTCCGATTTCGATTCTTGAAATCGAAAACGATTTTACTGAAATGAAACGTGCAGCATTTCACAGAATAGTTTTCCAATACTTAGTTTTATTCAAGTAACTTTTTAACTAAAATTTCACTTAAGATCATATAATATGGCCTTCACCTATGAAATTGCCGTTTTGCATGAAAAAATTTAAACGATTTTTTTTATTTAAAATGCGATGAAAATGTAACACTAATCAATAAACAAATGACTACTTTTGGAAAAAGAATCCCATGTTTTTAAAACAAAATTAATTAGCCTTAGCCTAACAAAAACTATTTTGATTTGAAATGGCCAGTACTGCAGAACGGCAATTATATAAGTAAAGATCTATTATATTATTATGTGAGTGAGGCTTTGCATTTAACTTTAAAACTTAATTAATTTTCAGTAAGTCATTGCATAGACTTTAAAACAGAAGAATGTGATGCTATAAACTTATTGTACACTAGCTTTTGCCCGCGTCTTCATTCGCGTGGAATAGTTACTTCCTGCAGATTTTTGGTAAAAAAACTACCTATGTCCTCTCTCGAGTTCCAAACTATGTCTGTACCAAATTTGTCAGAAATCGGTTCAGTAACTTAGGCGTGAAGAAAAGACAGACAGACAGACAGACAGAGTTACTTTCGAATTAATAATATTAAGTACTTAGTTTGGATTTGGTTTAGGTCGTAC